CTGGATGGTGAGCGACGCGGTTGCGTTGGGAGCAGCGGGGTTGAGGTGACGCGCCCGTGGCCCCTGCCTTCTTGTAACGCCCGTCCCGCAGAACACCCCCCCTTCCTTCCCCTGCTGCCCCTCGCGTGCTGGGGGTTTAGAACTGGATCTTCCCTGAGGCTCGGGCCTCCGTGTGAGTGGGGCAAGCAGCTGTTTACGAAGCCCTTCCCGCTTTCCCCGTTCTCCCGCCACCACCAGAGGCTCCCTGGCTTTGAGAAGGACGAGCGGTGCGTCGCTAGCGACGTCGGAGCCGAGGAGTTCCCAGCGGAGGTGTGAGCGTTGTTTTCCCCATGATCTTACAGCTACGGCTGGATGAGGCCCAAGAAGCAGAATGCCAAGCCCTGAGACTGCAACTCCAGCAGGAGATGGAGCTGCTCAACGCGTACCAGAGCAAAATTAAGATGCAGACGGAAGCACAGCACGAAAGAGAACTCCAGAAGCTGGAGCAACGGGTGTCGTTGCGCAGGGCACATCTCGAACAAAAGGTACGTTCCGGGCGGGCTGCTGGGGGGGCTGCCGGGTGCGCCCCGTCGCTGCGGGGGCCGGCACGGCGCGGTGAAGGGGCGGCTGACGGTGCTTCTTTCAGATCGAAGAGGAGCTCGCCGCCCTCCAGAAGGAACGCAGCGAGAGGATCAAGTTTCTGTTGGAAAGGCAGGAGCGAGAGATTGAGACGTTTGACATGGAGAGCTTGCGAATGGGCTTTGGGAATTTGGTCACGTTAGAATATCCCAAGGAGGACTATAGATGAGATTTAAATTTCTTTTTGCCATTTGAAAATCAACGGGGAAAAACAAAACAAAACAAAAAAAAAGACAAAAAGCAAACAATGATAAAACTTGCAAACCCAACATTCCCCATGTTAACGGGCGTGCTCTCTCTCTTTCTGTCTCTCTTACTGACATCGTGTCGGACTAGTGCCTGTATATTCTTACTCCATCAGGGGCCCCCTTTCCCCCTGTGTCAAGTCCCGGTGCAGGACAGCTCCTGGCGGTCTTTTCCATAGTATGTCACAGTATTGATGTCTCTGTGCAATGATTAAAAATGTTTCAGTGAAAACTTTGGAGACAATTTTAATGGAGAAAAAAAAAAAAAAAAAAAAGTGGATGTATGTTGCTTTTGAGCAATCACTCATTTTACCACCAATCAATGAAAGTACAAGCAAAAAAAAAAAAGAATAATAATAGAAAGATAAATACAAACCCAGGGGGAGAGAGACTAAATCCGCAGCCTTACCTTAACTAGCTGCTGCATAATTTTATTTTATTTTTATTTTTTTGGTATTTATTCATCAGGAATAATTAAATAATAAAAAATTTTATTAAAGATTGAAAAATTTGATACATTTTACAGAAAAAAAAAAAAAACCTTAATCGTGATGTACATATCAGTGGTGACATATTATTACTTTTTTGGGGGTGGGGAGGGGCGGGGCGAAGATCTGGTGATTTTTAGAAGAACCATGCCAGGCGAGGCGGGGATGAGACCTCGGTCCTGGGCATATTCTTGATTGTATCATAATCATTTTCTGCTGTCGCAGAGAATGTGAATACACTTAAATGAGCCCACAGGATCCCAGTAGCACAAATTGGGCTTTGTCAAATCGTGTATTTTGTGTATAGAAGGAATTTAAGGAGAGCTTTTACTTATTTTCATATTGTATTTTAACTGTTTCTCTGATCAAAAATTTTTTTACTTCTTTCCTCTTCCCCCCCCCCCCCCTTTCCCTCCTGCTCCCAGCCACCCCGCCCACTCTCCAGTTCAGCACTGGGAGTTCAGCACTGTCTGTTAGATCATCCCCAGCCCTTTTTTTTTTTTTTTCTTGTGTTTTTTTATTTTCTGTTCCTCCCCCAAGTCCACCCCCAACCCCATGATCTTGGTCATAAATATTGCATTATTCACACTTTCAAACTGTGTATTTTCTTACAATAAAAAGATAAAAAAAAAAGGCTTTACTTCTTTTGCATGCACTTTAAGAAAAAAAAAAAACAAAAAAAAAACAAAAAACAACCCCCCAAAAAAAACCCAAACAACAAAACAACAGAAACATTTTTCAGGTTCCAAGGAAGAGCATGAATAACTGTCAGAGCTTTTAATTATATTTGTAAATAAAAGTGTTCATCACACCGCCTCGCTGTCTTTTTTTTGGGGCCTGGCCCCGGCCCAGCCTGCAGGTGGGCGCAGGGGAGGTGACCCGTTCCCCTCCCACCAGCACACCCCTGGCGGACCCACAGAGGGGCGAGGGGTCCCTCCAGCTGGGGGAACCTCTGGGCCTTTGGTTCCAAACCTGCTTTTCTTGACAGTGGAGGTTTTTCGGCTGATAAGGGATGGGGGCTCATGTTTTAGGTCCTGCTTCCAGCCGGGAAGTCCCAGGAGGGCTCGGCCCTTGCTGAGCGCGGCGAAGGGCAGCTGTTCCAGCAGGTCTCCACCCGCCTGACACACTCCGTGCGGTGGATCTCGGTCTTGAGGAGCTGGGGGATGTTTTCCTGAAAAACCCATCGATCCTGTTCTGATGTTTAAGTGTTTTAATGGCTGGGTTGAAAAACTATCTTGGGGCAGAAACCAACCTTGTTTCTTCGTTACAGAGTCCCTCAGAGTTTTACAGGCCCCTGCTGCAGCACGGTGAGGTTTTCATGCCTGTTTCGGTGCAGAACTTTGAGAAAGGAAGTAGCTTAAAAAGGAGGGGGAGGCTTCTAGTTCCATGAAGGAGAATTACATGGGCTTCATCTTTTTCGAACCCTTTAAAGGTGGCAGCCTGGACCAAAGGTTCATTTTCTGCTTTAAGCACTTGGGAGACACCCCTTCAGCCTCACTGCGAGCTGTTGGGGGATCAGGAAAGCAACTGGGACCCTGCAGGTTGGCCGGGAAGTGGCTTCAGGTCAGTACAGCTGGTGGGTGCTGCTCCCAGGAGCTGCAGTCAGGGTGCAGCTGCGGTGGTGCGGGCTCCTGCAGAGCAGCCCAGGCCGGGGGGAAAAGGCAGGAGGCCTCCAGGGAGCACCACACCTGAGCCCGGGGAGACCCCCAGGCCAGGCTCCGCTGCCCGCTGACGCCGCG